TTTGTGCAGTTTACCGTTCGTTTTGTGAACCTTCTACTGAAATTTGGGAACAACAGCTAGGGAGAACTTCGCCGTAGACAAAATTTGTTCTTAAGATCTATTTATTGCAGTTGTCGTGAGCGGTGTTGTTGAGCTAACTGTGATGCACAATTTTGGAATTGGGTTTTAGGTACTGACCCATAATTGGGTAATCCACCACGATGGAGTCAAAAGTAGTCGTGCATCACATATATTCGTTGCCTCGCACTGCAATCGATTGCACACGCTCTCCATCTTGCGCAGATCTTCGATCAGCTTCTCGTGATCGTTGCTTGAGGGTAGAGTGTCCTCGACGTCCTCGATGAGCCATGCATGAGCGCGTAATTCTGCGTAACGCTGCAGCATGTCGTAGGTAGACGACCAGCGGGTGGGGTTGCGCTTTTTGGCCCGGAGCGGAGTGAGCTTGAAAAGTCCAGCCGTATTATTGGAGTGTCGTAACTGCGACATCAGGTCGTTGACTTGTTGTAACAGCGGTTCGTAACCAGTTAAGAACTTCATAACAGCCAGGTTAAATCGGTGCGATGGGCAACCGACCAATCGGATGCCGATCTTGGTAGTGATACAGCGGTTAGTGTTGCAGTTATTTACTACGATGAATAGCAACATACTCGTTGTCTTGTTGTACACGGTCAGTACGTTGCTCAGTATGGTGATGTGCGCATCGCTGTATTGACTGCCGTCGTCCAGTGGTGACAGCGAGAGTAAAATGCGCTTGAGGTGTCCGTCGACTATGTAGAGAGCGAAAACGCCCACAAAGCGCATGGATCCGTGACTCCAGCCGTCGAACATGAGACCGAACCGTTCGCCCATACTACTCGTGATTACGCCTCCAACCTTTGCCGCCACCGCAATCATGTCAGTCTTGAGCGCCTTGGAGTTGGTTGGTCGCCACTTGGACATGGCCCTAGTCCGCTTGTCGTCCACCTCGCTTAGTGGCATGCTCCCCTCAACAACCCACCGCAAGCATTGATAGCAGTGGGAGGTTACCTCGGAAACGAAGCCGAAATCTTGTAGTGGTCGCTCGGGGCCGCGGTGGCGGACGTCGTACTGAGCACGAAAATCCTCGTGGCGGCTTGCTAGGTATGATACGAGGTTTGAATAGCCTGTGTAGGGTAGCTGTTTACGGTTAGCTCCGCAAAACTTGCGCCGAAGAAGCGCGTTGCCTTGAGTGTCGAAGAAGAACGCGCAGAGGTCTCTGTTTGCTACCATCGTTGAAAATTAGAGAGTGAGACGCTGCCTATCACCTCATTCTAAGCTTGCTAAACTTGCTGCAGCCGCTCTGAGCCACTCAGCATAGTCAAAGCGTAATTGGGGCGTCTAACCGCGACTTTGTGTTATCTGAACCGTCAAATTAAATCGCGGTTCTATTATCGTATTGTATTGAAATTATTGGTGTAATATATTATTTGTAAAGTTTTATGATAACCCAATAATACATATTATAATAGAAAAATAAAGTAATTTCAATTCCGCAATCCTTTTTTCCGAGGTCTGTAGAGAAGGTATATTGTTGTCAACAATATTCCTTCTGTACTTCTTGGGCTCCAATAGACCCCAATATATGTCCATGCTAACTAACTACAACGAGAAAATGATGATTTTTTTGTTTATGTGTATCTTCTAGCTTCTTCGATCAAGATCGCATATTCATGTGTAACAGAGGCTTTAACTTCATCGCTACCAACGTTATCCTAAACAATAAAATAAATGTCTGACTCTCTATCAGGCCACGTATATCCGAACATCTGATAAGCAAAAAAATGTCTTAAATAATAAGACTATGGTTCCTTCTGTGCCCCATGAAGGCCATTGCTTTGAATAGTTTTCAAGTGGGGATAAACATTTGCGCATTCTTTGCGATGCAAACAACTTGCTTCTTAAATTCTGGTAAAGCGCTGTACTGGGGTATCTTCCATATTACTCTCTACTTGCGTCGCTACTGCTAATACTTTTCTTGAGATGAACTAGTATTGTGAATGTCATGCAGTATATCCAATCTGCTAAATCGATAAGCAAGGGTATTTACATACCTAAATCAGAGTCTGAGCGTAACAAATCGTTGTCTCCAACATAAACGTTCACAATGACATCTATGATTATCTAATCACCTCAACTAGCAGACTGGACTGTTTTAAAGTAAGCAAAGTGGCTAGTGATTCAAATGTGTCTGCCTGACCTCAATTCTCAGGTTCACGAATCATAAGCTGTGATATCTGTATGCATTTCGTACTATCAATATGTAGTATACACAACAAACCTTAATAAACTTTGTCATGAATCTAGCACAAACATATTTTCAGTCTATTTAAAATTGCGGAAATATTTATTATTGATAGGTTTGAATTTGTAATGTTTATTATTGGTCCACTGTCGCCAATTACGGCCTACATTCAAGATGTTTAAGCTTCGATCACTTCCGCAGACCCCCCCACCCCCCCAAGCGTGCTCTGGCCAGTGGCGGACCTGGGCGCACGCCTTGGTGCCTACCGGTGGAGACATGATTGGCCCGCTATGGCTTGGTTCGACTTGAAGCATGATACACGATACATTAGTGGAAGCTGGCATGCGCTCCTAATTGCATGTTAAGGCATGATGAAGGAGTAGTCTTCCGTGTCCTAGTATCTGTTTACTTTGCTCATTAAAAATATTTCCTCCTTCAACAAACCACGGGTATCCACGACAAAGCTAGCTTTGCGCTTTCGGAAGCGAGAGTTTCTTGATCTCGGAAGTCGAAGATTTTCTGGTTCCTCATCTATGCAGTGCGCGCTGCGACCGAGGTCTCTGCCGTCGTTTGGTCCAAATCTACCTGTATACGTCGACTAAGTACGAATTTATCAAAGTTCGATACTGAATTAACCCCTTAAACCCAAGCGCCTGGACCTTACAAGATACGGGCGATTTCTTAACGTGGTCCATACACGTTAATATTTTTATACTTGCCTTTTGTATGAACCGATACAAATTTCAAGTCAACCAGGGCTAGGAAATGTATCCATGGCCTTGCACTAATCGACATAAATGCGACGTGAAAAAAGGACAGTTGTGCTAAAACACAGACAAAAAATCTGGTCTCAACCTTATCGCAGATTAGAATACTGCCGCCAACCACTCAGACCTTCTCCCTTTCAGATTTGCGGCGTCCAGGACAAGTCGACGCTGCCTGACCGACATGGCGTTCCGCGCACGCTGGATGGCGCTTCGCCAGACCGGCTGAACCTCCAAGGATCAGACGGGTCTATCTGACGAATTCACCGACTTGAAACCTAGAAAACCATCAAAGACGTCCGCGGAGTGGATTATTTCGTCGGTGAGGACGTACTGATGCTTCATCTGGACCACGTTGACTTCGGTACGTAAGTTAAGGACACGCTCTGTATTGCACCTTATATTCATACTGTTGCGAGCTACAGAGGCGCTTTTGGAGCAGAAGAAAGCAGATGAGAAGGTGGCGAAACTGAAGGCTGCAGCGAAGGCGGCACGGCGAGGTTCGAGTACGGCGGCAGCAAAACCGAAGGCAGCTACAAAGGCGACACAGGCGGTGAAGACGAAGGCCAAGTCGTCTGTGAAAAACAAGACGGCTGCAAAGGCGACACAGCGTCAGACTGCTAATGCTTCGGAAGGTATGGTGGCGTAGTTGTATTATACACTATAACGTGAATTCTAACTGTGTACCGCCATGTTAGAAGCTATTGCAGGACCGACCACACCTGTACACTAGCCCGGCCCTACGACGTCGCGTATGCCGGATTGAACAGCAGTGCTTCGCCCCATTTCTCGGAAGGTTGGTACATGTATGGTACACGATTTCAATTGATCTAAACATGTATGTGTGACGTATAATATGTAGCTTCTTCTTCTGTTACTCAGCGCAACCTCGACTTGGAAGCAGATCCTAGTGGTCAATCTTTGGACAACTCGAGTGATGAAGCTAATCCCGTCGAACCTGTTGACGATGAACATATTGTCCAAATGGAGAGGAAGCCAGAGAACAACCCATTTCCGACTCGAATGAGGTGTATCTTGTACAGATGTTATCTCTCTGAAACTAACGTGTATTTATATGCTATCGTACTATTGAAGATGTCAATTACGCAAAACCCACGGAAGCTTCGCAGGCGTTTGTGACGTTTGAATCGGATGCTGAAAATGATGATGGGGACAACAAAGACTCTGCTGGTGAAGGCGTTGAAGCCAACGATGTGAGGCTACCTGTGCCGCCAGAGATGCGGTTCGACGCCGACTTAGTGACTGCCATTGGTGGAATGACGAATATTGCTGCGGATGAGGTATCGGACGCCATCCTAACTAAGATGGGTCAAGATGGGTGAGGCGATTTGCTCACGCAGATGCCATACGACTATTTGCAAAAGCCATATGAGCCTCGACCTCCACGCTCACTACACGCAGACTATCCCAACTTGTTCAACAGGGAGTCATGGCCAACAGCGAGGGTACTCGATGCGGCAACGACGCCTTCAGGAACATTTTTCTTCTTTATGCAACATGAGTTGTGGGAAGACATTGCCACGGAGACTAACTGCTACTTCGTATGCAAAATTGACGAGCATGTGCAAGGTCAGTACCAGAAGCAAGTTGCATGTGAGACGAAGTACCCTGGGTTCACATGAAAAACCACCTGCACGAATTCGTGAGGAAATTCCCAAGGTTCCAGCCATCACGCCTCGAGAAGTGTGTGTGTTTATTGGTCTGTTGTTGGCGAGATCTGTCGTCCCCAACAAAAAGAATTTGGCGAACCATTGGCGAACGACAGACGAAGGTGCGAATCCTCGCGGCTGTTTCGGCCTCTTCATGACACGGGATCGCTTCGTGCATGTGTCGCGCAACCTTCATTTTAGTGCCAATGACGACGCAGCAGCTGCAGCGGACCGAGCCTGAAAACTTCGACCCATTATCGACTCCATCCAACACGATTCGCGAACGGTTTTACGCCGCCAACGGTGATGGTCTTTGATAAAGCCATGCTACCGTCTCGTTCCACGTTCAACGATATGAGGGTGTACATGAAGTACAAGTCCCACAAGTGGGGTTCTAAGTTATTCATGCTGTGTTGTTCTACGACAGCGTATTGCATCCGGTAAGTTACAGGCGTGTCTTCGGACACGCCTGCCTTTTTGGCTGTGAAGTACCCTTATCATGTGCCATACATACTAACTATATATTAATCATGTACGATATAGTTTTGAGGTTTCTTGCGGTAAAATAGAGTGAGAGCAGGGACGACAAGCTCTACCGACTACAAATCTGGACCGGCTGCAGTCGCGCGTAATCTCAAGGGAATTTTCCGGTCCTACATCTCCTGTGAATGGAGACATGCGACTGGTAGTGACGGACAGATTCTACATAGCTGTCCCGCTGAGCATGCAGCTCCTGACAATGTGATTCTATTTCATCGGCACGATTAGGACGGACAGACGAGGATTCAGAACTAAACAGATTCCCAAAAAGAAGAAAGGTGAGAAAGCGAAGCTGCAAATGATTCTAAAAACAGGCCCAAGACCATAGAATGAGGGACGTTCGTTGTTGCCGAAGCGTTACAGTTTCCAAACATGCGTGGGAAACGCGTTCAGTTCACATGCTGAGTACCGGTGGGAGCGTGGAGATGAACAGAATAGTACGTCGTAACAAGCTCTTAGGCGAGCAGCAAGAAGTCGCATGCCCACGTATTGCCAAAGACGATTAAGCTTATATGGGCGGCGTGGATGTAGACGACTAACTGCGCTTACAGCGGTAAGTGTTCGGATTTAATCTATACAAGATACGCAGCTAACTAAAGGTGTATGTTACTGATTTAGGTACTCGCTTCAATTGTGCATCAAGTACAAGAAATATTAGAAGTCTATATTCCTGGGAGTTGTCGCCCTTGGTGTTATCAACGCATACATCGTGTACAATGCCGCGCGCGCAAAAACAAACTTGCCTAAGCTCAGTCACGTAAAGTTCGTGAAGCAGCTCCATCTGGAGCTGGTTCAACTCCGCGAGGCAGACTGGGACAACTTGCTGACCAACAAATACCTACAAGCTACACATTCAAAGCCGTTTCGCCCAGATCTACGTCGACAAGATGCTCACCAACCTCTCCAGAACGATGAACGGCGCCGGGACAACAACAATCAAGGCCGGAAGCGACGTACGAGTATCCAGGATACATATCCCTTCCAGGTGATTTCCATGGAGCACATTCCGTCATTGCCAAAGTCGTTCAAAGGAAACACCGAAGTGCTGATTTGGGCAGACTTGTTCACCGGTTACGTAATAGCCAAGGCTAGTCCGTCGAGAGAGGCGCAGACAGTGGCTGAGAATTACGAGGAATGCGTCTTCCGTCGCTTCGGCGCAAGCGAAGTCATCCGACATGACCGGGAGCCGGGCTTTATGTCGGACTTCTTCCGTGCCTTCAACCGGATCATGAAGATGGGACAGAGCGCAACGATTACTTACCGTCAACAAGGGAACGGCAAAGCCGAGCGAACGGTGCAAAGCCTGACACGAGCCGTGAAGTTGTACGTCACTGATGTACAATCAGCAAGACTGGGACGACTATTCAAAGCGGCTGGCCTATGCGCTGTATACGGAGCACGATCTAGTGAGGGGAGAAACGTCATTCTTCCTCGTCTACGTACCGACGGGACCCGCGGTCGACACTTGAAGCGGTTGTTTCGGTGGGATCGACACGCCACCGCAATTGTGATGCGGGATATGGAGGTACCACATACAGGAACAGTGCCGCAGAGCCAGGGAAGCAGTCAACGAGAATCTGCGCGATGCGATCAAGTCTAGAGCTGACCATAACAACAAAACGAAAACGTCCGACCACACCGGATTGAGGAAGACACACAAGTGTGACTTTAGCTGGACCGCGTAATGGAAGGTACGCCCGCAAGCTCGCACACATGTAGCATGGGCCGTTTCGCGTAACTGGGCTTATCGGCAATCATGCAACTCGTCTCGAGACCGCCGGCTCAGGGTATCGAATCTTCCCGATAGTACATCTGTCGAAGTTGAAGCCAGTGTGAACATTCCCAGATCGACCTAAGGTTGTTTTGAATACCGAGAACGATGACCGGGTAGGTTTTGATGATGAATTGTTGCCAAACGATAGCTGGGAAACTCCACTGGACGAAGACGAATTCGAGGTAGAACGGATCGCGTATGTGCGATCAGGGCGACGCACCCGCTATGGGTGGACCGGGAATTCCAGGTCAATTGGAAAGGCTATGACCAGCTGACATCGGTGGACGAAGCGGTGATCAGGACCGATGATCGAGATGAGTGATAAGAGTTGTTGATCGAGATAGTTGATCGTAATCGATGATAGCCGACGGTCGAGGAACATGAGAATTGTGAACCAAGCCATGGCGGCGAAGAGCAGAAGCAGAGAGCTGCCTATCAGGCAAAAGTGAAGCGGCCGTTGCATAAGACAATGTGCAAAAGAGGTGCCGAGGGTGAGAAGCCATGAAAGAAATAAGTCTCCACCGACGCGGTCAACTGGTCACCGACACGAGAGCATGCAACTACCAAGTAAGAGAGGTCAGACTCGAAACAACGAAGGAACGAGAACAAAACAGTGTGATACGAACAAGGTGAAGACAGACGTGGTTGAGAGACGCAGAGTGACGACTATGTTGATCAGCTTTCCAGGTGCTTAAGCTATTCCAGAAGGATGGATTTGCCTAAAGACGGGGAAGCTGGGAATCAGGATGGTTTTCAATAGCGTGGTGATACTGGTTGCGCCAAGGATCTTGGCGGTCAGCGTCACGAAGAGCTTGAAACAGGTTAGCGGACCGCTGAGTGCACTGTAGACCAGGGTACTATTTCGACCGCTCTCCAGGGCGCAGGAAAAGGAGGAAGACAGGATCCAGAAGAATGTTGAGGTCGCGGTGGCCAGCCACCATCCTCCACAACACGACCTTGAGAAGCTTTTCCAGGCAGCACCAAAATGTGACCGGTGCTGCCTGCACTCCACGTAGAGGATCTCGAAGTATTTGACGGCACGCCGAAGTTCTTCTGAGATGGGAAAAGAATGGGTGGATTCCCACGGTGCTTGACGATGTTCGGTCTGTAACTCATCCAATATCTGCCACAAGATTTGTAAGGGAGAACCGTCCCTCACAAGGAGATGGGCGTTACTGGCTTCGCAAGAACTCCCCATGGCGTGGAAGCATAGACTGTCGAAACGTAGCCTTCATCCAAAAGTGCCACTTCCTAATTGAAGTCGTCAGGTACTGGCTCTGGCTTCGGAAATAGTCAAATATGAGTTTGGAGAAGCGGCTGAACAACATCGCCACATCAAGTTCAGTGACGCTGATTTGCGAGGCGTCCAACAGTGGCCTGGGAGCTGCGTGATTCAAAGAAAAGATCACGTGAGCACGATACCCAGGGACCCAGTGCGCGCGGTCAAAACCAGTGAAAGGCAATTGAGCGTAGACAACAGGCGTCAAAAGCTCGTTGCGGGCCACCAACTAGGGGACTACCTGATTCGACAGCAACATGAGCACGGACCCTGCCACCTCGAACGGGCGTCCTGACTCGCTCGATCACAGTGTTATCGTTATCCGCGTCGTCTATGTCCAACTCGATCGGACGACCACGCGCGGTACCAGCGAGGTCAGACGGAGCAGGAGGAGCTCACGGAGTAGGGCGACCCGATAAAGCGTTCATTACAGAGTCATCGCTGCCTGAGTCGGCCTCACGGAGATAATCGGCCGAGTCAGATCGAGCATCGCCACGTCTGAGGCGACTCGACGACGGGTCGGAAGGGTCGACGTCATCGAGGCTGGAAGGGTGTAATCCGCGATAGGTTGTAGACCAGTGAAGCCCCGGAGAATCGTCACCGACGGACACATTGTCTTGTATGCCAGAGTGAACGAATCTCAACATCAGTGGACATTCGGAGTACCCTCTCCGTTAGTTAGTCGTCCGAGGCACTGTAGCGAACTGGACAACGGTAGACATCAATTTCTGCCAACCCACTCCACCACATCTCCACCCTTCGTCACCTCGAACGGCGTTACAGCAACTGCCTCGGACTTTGAAAACGTACCACCGCTGATCGGTTTGACGGTCGCACTTTCAAATACAGGAGAGTGGACAATACTACTGTTATCATTGTGCTGGGGGACATCCGCCAAAACGATGCCGTCGCACTACAGCTTCCTAGTGATGCTCTGGAACTTCTTCATGTGTTCCAGCTACTCGAGGAACTTGCGATGCACTGCACCAGTTTGCACCAACCCGTCCACAGCTTTGACGGTCCGGATCTATGGGGACGAATTCGCACATAGCGCTCTAACATTTCGAAACTACAACTCCATCGTGTGATATTCCGTTTGGTACGATGCAGGTCGGAATGCTCGGTGAAGTTATTCACAAGGGTTAACTTGGACATAAGGGTGTTAACCTGTCCCAGTAATGGCTCATATTTGGTAATGTACCGGTAACCGCGAGGTTAAACCTATGACTGGCACCAACAACCAGAGGAACACCGATTTTGGTGGCGATACACTGGTTGGTTGAGCAGTTGTCACCGCCAACGCAAGCCACCCTGGATAGCTTTTGTCGTATACATCCAACACGCCATCCAAGAGCTTTATGTGCGAATCTGCATCTTGCGAATCATCTTGAAGCGGAGGCACAGCGAGAAGCTGCAGCTTAACTGTACCCTCTGCCTCGAACACACCGTATACCGCAACGTAACGCATAGAACTGCAGAACCAACCTTCGAACATGGGTGTGAAACAGCTGCCCAGCGCTTCCTCGAGCGACTTGCCCACCTTCTTGGATACATCATACATAAAGTTAAGAGGCACAGGTGACGACACCGACCTTCATCTAGTCATAGAGCATGTCCGCTCGTTGTCGACTTCCGACAGCGGCATGTTCCGCTCGACGACCCATCCCATCCATTGGAAGCAATGAGACGTCTCTTCAGACACGAACCCAAAATCACAGAGGTCCTTGGAGGACAGTGTTGCTGCGTATAGGTCCTTGAAGTCGTCGTGCTTGTTAGCCAGGTGCCCGGTCAAGTTGGAATATCCAGCGTTGGCGATTTGTTTGCGTTCGGAGCCACACCGCTTACACCGATAGTGGCCTTGACCGAGGTCCTCGTAAATATAGGCGTAGGTGTCTTGGTTGGGCATTATTATAGGCTGAGTGGAAGTTTTTGTGAATGATAAAGGTCACCATACAATAGGATTTTTACGTGTTTGCTGTCGGCCAGTGATTTGGTAGTAGTTAGGTACTCAGTATGGAGTATGACGAAGTCAAAGGAACTGGCTTCTCAGGTTAGGTCGTCCATCAGTTGAATTGTGTATTGCTATTGCCATGCCGACACTTTTGTAATATTGTATTGCAATTTTCTAGAAATATCATATTTATTTTTTTGTGATTATCCCAGTAATTCTATTTTTTTAGAAACGGATTGTCGACCCTTGTTGGGATTACACAGCCTATGCACGGTTCGATCACGGTTTGTAACTGCAGGACGGTTCACTCCGGAAACTCTTCTGATTGGCTACATCCACTTGGTTGGCTTGGAGGCAGACAACAAGAAGAACAGTACGAGTAGGACAAAGTTGTTTATTTAACTTTAATCTACTCACTTCGGCATTTGCCAACAAAATCACTCTACGACAACACTCAAGCCATGACGACCAAACTCGCCAAAGTCCTCCTGGGTAGTGGGAACTATTTCCACTGGGAGTATAACATGAGAATGACCCTCGCCCGAAAGGGGTTGCTCGCTCATGTTCAAGTCGTCAAGTTGGAGAGTGAGATCACCGAGGCATGGTTGGTGAACGACGCAAAGGCTTTGGCAATCATCGCTCAAGGTGTTGAGCTGCAGCACCAGACCAAGATCCGTTCCGCTGTGCGCGCCATGGAGGCTTGGAATACTCTGCGTGAATATTATAATCGCACCACGCTCCACAACCGTGTGGCTATGACGAGATGTATGCATGAGTTCAAGATGGAAGAGGGAACACCCATGGCCAAGCGCTTGGATGCGTTCAACGAGCTGGTAGTCGGTCTCCAGACGTTGGGAGAGCCGGTGGATGAGGCACGGCAGATGGTTGTACTGCTGGGTAGCCTGCCGTCCGAGTACGAACTGATAGCGTCGATCGTGGAGAACACGAAGGATATCACGCTGATCGAGTTCAAGGAGAAGCTTATGAAAGAACACGAACGTTTGCAGAAGAAGGAAACCACGGAGAAGGCGTTCCGCGTAAATGGGAACCCTGGACGGTTCAAGGCAGGTCGCGGAAACGGTCGCAAGGGCAACCGCGACTGGCCGGTGAAGAACAGTGACGCTGGCAGTGACGCAGTGTTTGTTGTGGGTGAGGAGCGCCTCACTGGATGGCTGATCGATAGCGGCGCAACATCACACATGACACCGTTTCGTGAAGACTTGTTTGGTAATCGTCTCAGGCAACAAGGTAACGATTGCCGACGGTAAGAAGCTGCGAGTAGCTGGTAAAGTAATGGTGAAGCTGACTTGCGTGAACGGCAAGCGTATCAAGATGATGGAAGTTCTGTACATCCCAGGACTAGACAGAAGGTTGCTGTCGGTGGGAAAGCTTGCGGAACGCGCCCTGATTGTGGAGTTCCAGCGTTCCTCATGCATGATTTGGGGAGCTACCAGTGCTATCGCAACGGGAACGAAAATCGGCAAGGCGTATGTGCTTGAGTGTGAGCAAGAAGAAGCACGGTTTGTGGAATACGCCGGGGTGGACAGTCAGTGGGAGCTTTGGCACGCTCGCATGGGACACCCAAATGAAAACGCTATGATCAAAACGCAGCGTCCAAGAACGGTATACCAGCCGTTGGTCGTGGTATCAAGAATTTATGCGGTGGATGCATGAAGGGGAA